TCTCGCTCTCTCTCTCTCTCTCTCTCTCTCTCTCTCTCTCTCTCTCTCTCTCTCTCTCTCTCTCCTGCCTTTCTGCCAATGTTATCACCATCGAATATACGTTGTCTGCATCATATATATTCTCTCTCTTTTTTAACCCTTTCCCTTTTTTATCACCCTATTTATGACACTCAAGATGTTTTACAAGATGTATGTCCAAGTATGACAGTAAATTCCATTGAGAAAATTTCATTTCAAGTCATTAGAAGAAAATATCTTGCGAGTTTTACACGTAAAGATTACAAAGTAACTGAAAAGTGTCAAATCACGTTTAATCTACATAAATTAACTATTATATTATCATGCATTATACACTGCGTCGTTGAAAATTCTGTTTAAGTGAGGCATACGAAAGAATAAAAGAATGGATGTACCAAATATATACATTTTTTATACATCTACTAATGCATCCTACTGTCTTTCCATTGGAAAGATTCACAATGGCGGAATAGTAATTCAGAAGTAATTAAAAGTAAATACATGGAGAAAGTACAGAAGAAACAGTATATTTTGCACATAAATATAAATCCATACCAAGTGCATTATAAAGATTATAAAGTTTACGGATACCGATCGCCCGCGCGTGCCTGTGTCTGTGTAGTGGTCTGTAGGCACCACACGTTCCAACTGCCCGCGCGAGCGAACCTCCTGCGATAATCCTGTGATGGATGCCTCTAGGTGGTCAGTAAGCCCTACCTGCCAGACTGTTCGATGTATATCGGTATGTTTATCCAGACGGAAGCTGTCTGGTAGTGATAGGGTAACCGATGTCTCTGATACGATACGTACGTGATTCGACTTGATACTATTAATAAAATGCATGCGTGTAAAACAGTAATTAATAACAGTAATCAATTATAAAAGCAAATTGGTCATTACTCGGAAATAAAAGATTGTTTTGTCAATGAAATGATGTAGCGCAATTACTTTATACTCTCTCGTTTTGTGTTCCTGCGTTTAGAATATCATAAAGAATGTTATGTGAAATGTAGTTGCAATTAATTGAGAAGAAAAGATAACGTACGTACATGTTTATAAATTTAAGAAAAACGTGTCTTGTAAAAAAATAAGTATACAAAAGTGCATGTACGTGAATTGAATCGTACATTCTCTCTCCATTACGTCACGTCGCGCCGCATCGCGTCGCGTCTGATCCGATAACGTTCATTGTATACTATACGGTTTATGTTGACCGAAACGTATGCATTGAACATTGTCGGTGCATTGTAATTAATAAATCTCTTATTGCGTGTACATATTTGTATGTCGATACTGGGCGATTATTCGACCAACGTTTGTGTTGTATGAGCATATACATACATCTCGTCTGGACCAATCGACCGCTTCTGACTGAATTGTATATTCTCCTAGCTAACTAACGTTACAGAGACAACCGACATACAAACAAGCGTATACGTGTATGGCAATGCCGACTGTTAAGCTGATACGTGCATGCGCGCGTCTGCTGCGTGTACGGGATCTCGTATCACTCGTATGTGCATAGAATTATGCACTCGCATCCACTTCCTCCTGGCTGAGTTCTGATTAATTTCGTTTCCTCCCTCCCCCTCCCTCCCCCCCTCTCTCTCTTTTCGAAATATTAAAATTTGTATACTAAATCTGTAATAATTTTCACATTTTACAGTTAAAAAGTCATCTTATACAAATATCTTTATTTTATTTAATATGTACATCGTAAAAAAAACCCTTGGAAAATTCACACGCATTGTACACGCATGCACGTATACGACGCACACTTACAAACGTAGAGAAAAATGTCCAAAATAACAGGAAGAATGGAGATAAAGAGAAAGAACACGTTAATCTATATTTATTGTATGCAATTAGCCAACAAAAAGATGTTTAAGCGATGTAGTGTTGAATTTATTTGTGATTGCAAGTTCCCACCTGTTGCCCTTTCTGCCTCTCTTCTAAACGTATTATTGCTACAAAGTTTTGTCTTCTCTCTTTTTTCCATTTCTATTTATATTCTTTGAACTTTCCTTTCTTCCCTTTACCTAATTTTGTTTCTTTATTTTAAAGTATCACAACAGGAGGATGTTAAAAAAAGGCCAATTTTTGCTCATAAAGGTGTAAGTAAAAGGAAGAGCATTTTTTATAGATTTTGACTTCCCGAATACGATAATGTTAATAAAAAGTTCGGGATCGATAGGGAACACTTTGAAAATGGAGCACGAATGATATATTTGAACAAATTTCAATATTCTTACTTGCTTTTCAAGGTGTTCTTCAAGTGCCACGAACTTTTTAATAATTTTATCATATTCAAGAAGTCAAAATCTACAAAAAAAAAAACACTATTTCTTTTACTTATCATTCTTTTAAACAAAAATCGAACTTTTTTTAATGTCCTCCAAAAAAGGGTAGATTTTTGCCCAAACAGATGTAAGTAAAAGAAATAGTGTTTTCGTAGATTTTGATCTCCCGAATATGATAAAATTATTAAACAATTTTTTGTACTCACTCAATCGATTTTTGTTTAGCATATTATTATTTGTTTAACAATATTCGAAATATCATGCAAGATAATATGGAAAGTATTAGAAAGTGCTGACATACGAATAAACAATTTTTAAATCGAATTGTAAAATCTAAATGCTTGAGCGATTTGTACATATATCGTAGTCTCCATAATAGTTAAAATAAATAATTATATTACACTTTTTTAAATGAATTTTAGGAAGTGATCCAAATTAGATTGAAACAAAATGTGTAGAATTTGGCTATCGATATATTATGTAAATCAAAAGTTACATTAGACATGTAAAAGTTACATGTAAACAATCAATTTGTTTGTCTTCCGCCGACCGATTCATGTGCGTTGCGATAGGCGTGCGTGCACGCGATATTTAGTACTGTTTTCGTGTCGTCACCCATGCAAATAAAAGGATATAAGGAATAAATAGCGGGGAAAAAATAAGAAGAAAGAACGAAAGATGGATAGCAACAACAAGTTATCATGTAAAAGGAGAAGGCATCAACATTTCCGATTGGTTTTTATTTGTTATATGCTTATCTTGTTTTCATCAGTAACGCATTTAAAACATTCTCTCTTCCATTGGGATTATAGTGAATTTTATATCAATTGCAATATGTAAATACAAACATAATATCAGTCCTATGCTAAAAGTGAAGGTAAGAAATTAAAAGTTTTTAAATTAAAATGATGTTGAGCTTTTTATGTATTATAGTATTTTATGTAATATAATTATTATTATTAATTATTATTATTATTAATTATTATTATTAATTTAATAATAATTGTTCCAAGCATGATACAAATACTAACGAAATTTGTAATGTATAATGACTAAATGACAATGAAAAGTATGATAAAAGTGAAAAATATTTCGATCTTTACGACAACAAATTTGTTTCCTTTATCCGTCATTTGTTAATAAATACATAAATCATGTTCATCTCAAATTCTAGCCGAATTATCGACACGTAATCGAAAGAAGAAAATATTAAATTTTTTCGTGCATATGTCTGTACTTTGTTACATTACGTAATATCGAAACAACTTTGCACTTTAAATATATATAACGCCTGGGGCAGAGGTACAATATTTTTAAGTTAGTTTCTACCATAAAAACGAAATCTTCTTTCTTTTTCCTTTTCTCTCTTTATACCACTACTTGTTTTTGTCGGAAAGGAAAGATACGGTGACTAAATAAATACATTATATTAGGAAGAAAATAAACAGAATAATAAGAGGTGAATGGCAACAAATTTTCGCGAATAAATCCGTACGAAATGATAGTCGATGTGAATTATTTGTGTGAGTGGCTATGTTGTTTTTGCGCGAGCCTAGACGGTGCTCTTTCAAAACATTTTTCTTCTTTCCTTTATTTATTAATGCCGGACATTTCGCTACAAAAGTTAGATATGTTGTACGCTCGTTAACATAAATAATTCAAGTTAAATGTTTATTTTAAATAATTTTAAATAATTTAAATTGAATGTGTTAAGTCAATTGATTGATTCTGTTTTATTTAATGCAAACTCTTAATAAGTTTTTTACTAAATTGTTTTTTTTAGCTCTCTTAATTGATAAAGTTTATGATCGCATTATCATAGCGTTTTGTGTGTGCGTGCGTGCGTGCGTGCGTGCGTGCGTGCGTGCGTGCGTGCGTGCGTGTGTGTCATAGATATATGTCGTGTATATATTACATTATATTTGCATTGATATATATTAAAAATTTGAATTTCGCAATGAAAATCAGAGAAAATATTTCTTTTATTGTACAAATATACATACTTTATGGAAATATACACGAAGGGTTGTCTTATTATCTTAATCAGCAGTTCGAAATTATTCATAGCATCAAACGATTTTTTTTTCTTCTGAAAATTGTAAACCGCAAACAGATGTAATATAGAAATGGATGCAAATCGTAAAAGGAATTAGTGTGCGCTCCCAATGCATCCTATCCGTGAAATAGCTTACGGTAATCGATATTCAGTTAAGTCTATAAAATAAAGTTGTAGTTTGCGATTACTTTGCGATCGCTATAAATATAGCTTGTAC